GAAAGGGGGGAGGGGGGCTAGCCGCGATGGAGCCGCCAGAGACAACAACATCGACTAGGTAATCCCTTAATGTGCATCCTTTCCGACCTATGCAATTTGTGCCTCGTCTGCTTCCGCTAGCTCACCTCACACTGCGCCGCCGTTGACAAATAGGGGGGATGGTGCTCAGACGTTCGAATTCACTATGGAATTCTTTCCTTCTAAGATGAAGCTAGGTGATGGTAGCATGTGGGACATAAAGAGAGATACAATTGTGAAGTGGGAGATTGATTTTGCAGAGATTGATCCACAAGACCTACAGAGCATGGAAGAGAAGGTCGTGAAGAATGTGGTGGGAAAAATTGGGGAGAGCATTTTTGGGGTCCAGAGCAAGAGGCAGCATTGTTACGGTTTGATAATTGGAAAGGAGAGTATGTGAGAATTGAGGATGGTGAAGAGATGGTTGATGAAATCAATCGACAAGATGGCTGGACAACCAAATAGACCATGTTTCATGCAGAGCTTGTTGATCTGAAATCAGATTCTAAGGTTGGATATGTGCCCTCAAAGTTAGCTTCATAGATGGTAGATGATGATTGGGCTTCAGAGAGGCAGATAATGCCCATGTGTACAGGTGAAGTGTCACACCCTGATTTTCATGGCACAGCACTTAAGATGATAAATCATGATAAAATGTGGTTTGACAAAAACTTTTTGACTTTTTATTTGAGTTGGTTTTCTCTCTGTGTTTTCAAGTGCTCTTAAAAGTCAACATAGCTTCATCTTCTATACTTCACTTCCCTGATCCAAAACTTCTGCCCAATGATCATACCATGTGTATAGTACAACATACTATTTTCTTACAAAAATAATTTGGCCAAATAGTATTTTCAAAAAAAATTAGTTTTTCAAAAACCCCTGAGTTGAGGTTTGCACTGCAAGTACTTGATTTGGGGTATGAAGAATATTTCAAAGAGTATATTTGAAACCTATTAGATATAGGATTCCCATAAACCACAAAAATATAATTTTAAAAGTTATTTTCCTATTTTATTTAAAAGCTTTTTCTTAAGGCCAAAAATGGTCTTTAATAGGGAAAAATTATTTTATGATTTGAAAAATATTTGTGAAAATTTAGGGAAACTCAGTGGACATATATTGTCCATATATAAGAGTTTAAACACATGGTCATGTTCAAAATATTGGTCAAACACCTCAAAAACCCTTTCTGGATATTTCAAGCTTTTGAAATATTTACAAAGGAAATATTCTCTAACAATTCCAAGAAAATTCTAGCATGTCAAATATGACATGTTGGATGATCTGGCCAAGCCTCATGTCTTGGAGAACAGCATAACATCACCAAATCTCTTCAAAACCATTTTTGTCCATTTTGAAGTTTGAGCAACTCTACATTGCCAAACATGTCCAAATGTTCTCAAACTTGGTGCACATGCTCCAATGGTCTAATCATGCATCTAGACCAAATGGTACAGGTTGGAGAAAAGGATATCATGATCAAAGTGCCTCAAAACCCTCTCTGACCAGAATCAAATTTGAACAACTTTGTACTACCAACTTTCTCTCCTTGACCCCAACTTTGGTGAGCATATTCACATGACCAAATGAGGCCACTACACCAAGTGGTGCATCAAGGAGAAGTGATTTTCTCAACTAGATCTACACAAGTTCATTTCTGCTAATTTCTAGGGTTTACAAAAGTTGCATTGGCAACTTTGCCCAAATGGACTAAACCCTGGTGGAACCTATCATTATCTCATGCCATTTGACCCTGTCAAGCCTCATGACAAGAGGAGTTCATATTCTTGCCCAAACCAGCAACAAACACCTTCTGCCATTTTACTAAAACCCCTGTTTTGACCACTACCACTCTTCTCCATGGCCCCAACTTTTTACCACACCTCCTCCTAACCTCCAACTACCTCTGGCATTCAGAGCAAGTCAATGCTTATTGATCAAGGGGATGAAACCACCTCATCTACCTCCCTGGACAGCCCCTCTCTCCCTCTTCTTCTACCTCTCTCTTCTCCTACTGGCTATCTAGGGCATCCAATGCCCCTATCCACTTCTTTACTTCCCCCTAGAGCCCCCAGACACTAGAGGCCAAGCCTAGAGCGCTAGAAAAATGGCCATGCCGGCCATATGCACGCTCTGGAGCGCGCTACAGTGCACTCCCGCACTGTAGCCGCCGCCTGCCAACCACCTCCGGCCACCTCGGGCCTCCCCAGCGCGCCCGACGATGCGCCTTGGCGTCCTCAGCACGCTAAGCCCTGGTCCCCCCCTTCCTTCTCCCTCCTACGGCCTCCCTCACACGCGCGCCATGGCCACCCAGAGCTCCAATGAGCGGCCTCACACGCGTGCAGCCTCTGGCCCTCCCCCGCCCGCTCTCTTCATTCGCTTGGTCGTAGACCTCATCCACGAACGGCCCAGACTCACCCTCGGGTGCCCCCACGGCCTCTGGTCTCGCCTGTGACCTTGCCGGCGCACGAGTCCACGGTGGACCGGCGCCCAGCTATAAAAGCTCGCCCCAGGTCTCTCTCTTGGCATCCACCTCCTTCTCACACCCCCAAGCACACACCTGCACCACCCAATCAACCTCAGAGAGCTTCTATGCTCGGGATCGACCGGAGCTCCGCCACCTCGGTCGACCGTTGATCTCGCGGTACAGCCCCTCTCCGCCCCCGCTCTTGCTCGATCTGGAACCACCAGACCTCACTGACCCATTCCCCTCTTTCTCCCGCTCCTATTGCAGCTCGGAACGAGCTAACCAGGCTCCTCCCGAGGCCCTTCCGTCGGCTTCCTCGTCGCCGGCGAACCCCTGCACTCCGGCGACCGCCTCCGCCTCCACCCGAACGGCGACTCCGCCCTGAGCACACCGGTGCTGTCGGTGTCAAAACTGGCGGATCTCGGGTAGGGGGTCCCGAACTGTGCGTCTAGGAGGATGGTAACATGAGACAACGGACACGATGTTTTACCCAGGTTCGGGCCCTCTTGATGGAGGTAAAACCCTACGTCCTTCTTGATTAATATTGATGATGTGTGTTACAAGAGTAGATCTACCACGAGATCAAGGAGGCTAAACCCTAGAAGCTAGCCTATGGTATGATTGTTGTTCGTCCTATGGACTAAAGCCATCCAGTTTATATAGACACCGGAGAGGGCTAGGGTTACACAAAGTCGGTTACAATGGTAGGAGATCTACATATCCGTATCGCCAAGCTTGCCTTCCACGCCAAGGAAAGTCCCATCTGTGCACAGGACGATGTCTTCAATCTTGTATCTTCATAGTCTTGGAGTCCGGCCGATCATGATAGTTCGGCTATCCGGACACCCCCTAGTCTGGAACTCCCTTAGTAGCCCCCGAACCAGGCTTCAATGACGACGAGTCCGGCGCGCATGTTGTCTTCGGCGTTGCAAGGAGGGTTCTCCCTCAAACTTCATGTTCCTGTCGAATAGTGTCCGGCTTCCTTATAAATCTTGCGCTCCTTGGCTTCTACGCCCAATAATGGCCTTCTTCCACGTGTTGTATGAATGCGAAAAGCTAGGGTATTTTTACATTCTTCCCCTTAGCTGTGCGAACGAGTCGCCTATAAGAGAGGCGAGGATCTAGATCCAACTCACACCATCCTCCTTCCGCAAGTACTCATCGAAGCGCCTCTGACAAAAATCCATTCTACCATGGATAGTCGACGCGGCTCCTCCTCTCGCGCTCCCAGCCCTAAGCCAGGAGATTGGGGGAGATGCTCAGTCCCACACAGCGAGCTAGTGGCGCTCCAAACCGAGGGATATCTTCCCCCAGCCTTCATGGTTCCGGTTCGAGCCGGACTGGCCACCTTCCGGGGTGGAAAGCAGGCGGAGAATGTTCCCAACCCCTCCAAAGGAGAGCGGGTATGCTTTGTCCCTTATTTAATAAGGGGACTCAGATTTCCCATACATCCGTTTCTCCGGGGGCTCTTGGAGTTCTACGGACTCCAGCTCCACCATCTTACACCTGCCTCCATTTTGCACATCGCGGGCTTTGTAGCTCTTTGCGAGATGTTCTTGGGCATCGAGCCCCATTTCGCACTGTGGAAGAGATTGTTTTGCCTCGTACCCCGTTCTCACGAGGGGTCGATATATCAAGTGGGCAGAGCCGAAATATGGCGCATCGCCGGGACCGGATATCCATCCGGTACCCCGAAGAAGGCGTCCGAAGATTGGCCTTTGGAATGGTTCTATATGGAGGACGCCCCTCTGCCGGATCTAGTTCGGATCGGCCTCCCGAAGTTCAGCAATGCTCCCTTGAA